ATATATATAAAATTGCATAAAATTGTTTTAATATTAACAACAAAAATAAAAATTATAATCATTCTTTTGTTCTTTTTTTTGGGTGAAATATGACTTTGACCATTTTAGTGAGATTCTCTTTTGTATATAAATGAATAATTGACAAAAATTCCTGTTGACAAATTTGTAACCTCATTAAACCAGCCATTTCATGCCTACACTTATTTAATCAGTGCTTCATTACAGGATGAAAAATCCAGTTTAAAAATCCATTCCAGTTTAAAATGCTTTTGTCCAGTGACTGTATTAGGTTCACGGTGTATTTTGGCAATCTGAGAGAACCAGGCTCAGCTTCCTGGTAAGTTCTGAATGGATTTCCATGCTTGTCTTCAGTTTGTCTGGTACGCAGCCCTTTACCTTTCTTGCCCCTAACCTCTGGTTTACTGTAAATACTGTAAAATGCATTTTGATATCATTGACATGTTTTGATATGTCAGTCACAACCAATGAGTACAGCTGAAAATAAGTTATAAAGAATCTGTTTGTGTTTTTGTATTTTTCACTTTAAAAAAATGTCTGGGTCATGTTTTACCTCTAAAGTAAACATTTAAATTCATTTAATTGACTGTTTTAGGGCATTTTTATTGTATTTTATATATATATGTATTTTATATATATATATATATATGTGTATTATTTAATTTTAAAGAGATGCTTTTGCTGTAAAAAGCGGCAGATCGATGGTCAAAAATAATTCCTCAAACACACAGTTGGTGTGAAGAAAATGTCTTGTGTTGCTCAAGAGAATTTTGTGATTTTTGAACAAAACAGAAAGATAACTGTGAGTCTATATGAATGTGAAAACACAAGATCAGAGCAATTAACCATCAAATGTGTTACCATATTAGAAATTTCAGCCATTTTACATCGAATTAAGGTCCTGAAGGCTGGAATTGTGTAGTTGCTCACTGACCTGCTTCAACGTCCAGTTGTTGGCCATCTCTGCACTTCTGTTGTGATGTATAATATTGTAACATTAGAAATGTTTGAGAGGAAAATGTGTATTTTGGAGCAGGAAGGATCATGGGAGGGAATGACAGAAATTTCTCCTGTAATTTTCATCGTCCTTTCTTGCGACATGACAGTATTCAATATGAAGCAGTCTGTCCCATTGGGTTTGCTTTGTATTTAGGGTAGCTCAGATCTTTGTCCTAGGGCCTTAGGTGTCTTGTGTAGCTAAATATGTCCTTTGTATGTTTCTTTATATTGTAAAGTTTCTTTGGACTAAAAAAAAAAACAAACAGAAAATTTGCTTATCAAAAAAAAATGATTGCATCAATAATAAATGTAATTTGATATTTTTATGTGTTCCGGTTTTGTTTTTTAAATGAAATAATTTGAGTGAAACCCAGATGCCCTATAAAAACAAACCAAATAATTATAAAATATGATAAACATTTATATAACTTAATAAATATAGTAAAATAAATGTTTAATTGTAGATCTATATACAGGTATATTATAAATAAAAATGTTATGAATATAAAACCGGTATATTATAAATATTTTTTATTGTATTAAGTAGTGTATTTAGTAAAAATTACATCGTATAATACGCATTTATATTTTAAAAACTAGCTTCAACATTTCATATAAAAGTCCCCTGCAGTCATCGCAACGACCTTGGCTTTGTGACTTTTATTTTGTACTTGTCGGGATTGACCATTGACCTTTACCCGGAAGCTGCACAGATTGATCGTGTTTTGTTGTCAAAGTTGTTGCTGCGCACCTCCGTGCAGGTTTCCTCTCCCAGCGCGGTAAGTATTTTCATGTCATTTCATTTTTCAGCACACGTTTAAAGCATTCAGTGCACATAAAGCTTTACACGAGAGTTGTTTCGGCACGCTGTGTGTAGCACAGTAAGTTGTGGCGCGACCTCGTTATCAAAGTTGCCGGAATGTTCTGGAAATGCGGTCATTTCTGCTAATAATCGCAGGTTTCTGAAATCATCTCGGGAATGCATGCTCTCCCACTCGTAATTAAAAACAAGAGACCTCATTCAATAAATGTTAAATTGCTGTCGTAAGTCTCAGGATCTACTCTCAATCTATTTACAACACACATATTAGATGCACATTAAAATAATTTCATTTAAATTAATATTTGTGAATGTTTTTATATTAGAATTTTAGTTTATTCTAGAACAATGAGTTTGTTTTCTAAAAAACGAAGAAAAAAAAGTGCTATGGTAATGCCACGTTTTTTTGCGAGTTTACTACGATAATGTCGCGATTACTTAAAGTATCATATAAAACCTTAAATTGTAAATACGGTAATCATTCCGTTCCATAACACCACACTATTTGCATAAGGGTTTTATTAGCTTATCTATACTTATAAGATGGACATTCAAATATAATTTAATTTAAACGAAGGTTTATTCGATCATATTTGTAATAAATACCCTTTTTGCTTATTCTATGATAACTAGGGTTTCTTTTCCAACAAGTACCATGGTAATACCATGTTTGTTTTGCACGTTGTGAGTATTTGGATTATTATGTAAATACCACGACATGTCAATATGGCAATCATTCAGGACCATAGTATTTTTGTAAAGATTCAGTCGGCGTACTATGCAGTTTTACAGTTGATTGTAATTGTTTTTAAAGTGATTGTATTTTTAATGATCATTTATTCATTTGTTTCCGATGTTGCTTTGATGTAATTGTGATTGGAATAAAACTATATGTGGCCTGTTTTATGAATATGACAATATCCTGCTGAATGCCTTTGGCAGTTTAATGATAAACACTTAATTGAAATTATTTTTGTAAACAGTAATAAGTAGGCCTATACTGTTTTGTGCACAAGCATAAAAGCTTGAGAGGAGATGACATGGGTAGTTAAAAGTCAACCAGTGTTGGTTTATTATTTACAGAGATTGCCGTTGGCGAATAATGTGTACTGATTCTTCGAGATTTTCACTTTATGCA